GCGGGAGCACGTCTGGCTCCGCCCCGCGCGGTCGGCTCGCCCCGCCCCGCGGGCTCCGGACTTGCCTTGACTTTTTGTGCGTCTGGCAGGAACTCCTGGACTTAGAAGAACCGCAGTGTTGATCTCTCCCCTCTTCCCGCACGTGCACCAGTTCATTTGGAGGCCCAAGCCGGACTTTTATTTTTTTATTTTAAAAATGTATTTATTAATATGTTTTTTTTATATATACTAAGACGTTGCAGAGGAGTTGGGGGGAGGGAGAGAAGGGAAGGGGGAGGGAAATACGGTGGGAGGAGGAAGGAGGGGGGCGCGGTCGAACGAGCCGGACTTTTAAAAACGAGTGTTATGTGGGGTTTCCGCTGGGTAAAAAGTGAAAAAAACTCATTGCTCCTCAAACCCACCCTTCTCCACTAGTATCTTAGAATAATATACCGGCCCCCCACTCCCCCCCAAAAAAAGAAATGAAAGAAAATAAAAAGAAATGCCTTTGGCTGTACCCAGGGGTTGCAACCCAAAATAAGCAGAACAAGTCCATGAATGAAGTTTCCATTCCAAAAAGGTTACCCTTCCCTAAGCTCATATGAGGAAATTATGGAGCAGTCTCTGAAGCACACGTGATGGAAACCTGAGCTTGCAGGTAGGTAGACCCTGTTAGCCTCTCTGAGCTTCAGTCTGCTCTTCTAATCAGATGGATGAAGTCATTACTCAACTTCCCACGCTCTGAGGGTTAAATTTGTGGGATACTGCTCGTCAAACCTTCAGCCTGGAGCTTGCAGTGGATTCTCAGGGAATCGGAGCTGTTATAATGGCAATATTCATCATAAATTCATTTTTCCTAAACTAACATCTTGGTATTAGATTTACAATGCCTTCCTCTGGGCGATGCACACAAGGTGCTTAAAGTGTGTTTGCTGTAATGTAGTGAAAGCTGTGGGGCGTGGGGAGCACCGAAAAGCCTCACCTGCAGTTGAGTCCCCAAATCTGTTTATGTACATATTATTTGGCATCCCCTCTAGACTATTCTAGGCCACACTTTGTTACTCTGGTCTGGGCCCCCCTCTCAAGCCTCATTTTCCATGTCTCTAAGGAAAGGGGATAGATCCTGTGCAATTTCAATTGCTGGGAACATCTAGAATTCTCTCTCTTTTTTTTTTTTTCATAAAGATGACCGGCAAGGGGATCTTAACCTTTGACTTGGTGTTGTCAGCACCACGCTCTCCCAAGTGAGTGAACCAGCCATCCCTATATAGGGATCCGAACCTGTGGCCTTGGTGTTATCAGCACCACACTTAGAATTCTCTTTTGGGAGACAGCTCTGACCCAAGCTCTCAAACGCCTCAAAATCCACCCCTTCCTTATTTCCAGTAAATCCCCTTCTCCACATCCAGGCTCTGAGGCCTTTCCAGGTCCTGCCAGTCCCCTGACCTCAAAGCCTCTTGAATCTCTGAATTCCGAAGGCCAGCACATAGTAGTTGCTTAATAAATGTTAGTGGAATGCAAGGGCTGGGAAGCTCCTTAGAAACCACCTAGTTAATCTGATGTTCCCCATCTATTTTCGAAAACTTACATACCCTTTAAATAAATACAAAAATTTCTACTGCCTCAGTCAATATTCTAACTTCCCAAGGAAGTATGCCACTCCACCCTGGTTGAGGAGCATTTGCAGAAAACAGAATACATCTTTTGGGATGCCTCCTCCAGCCAGAAACCCTGTAATTTGAATTACATAGTCATTTTTAAAATTTTCAAATTGTAAAATCATAGCATGCCAGTGAAATATTTGTCTAACCTACCCTCGTCCCCCACCCAAGTTTCATAATACTATGAGCTTGTGGGGGCTGGCCAGAGAGCTCAGTTGGTTAGAGCGTGGACATGTAACACTAAGGTCAAGGGTTCAGATCCCCTTACTGGCCAGCTGTGAAAAAGAAAAAAAGCTTCCTCCCTGCCCCCTCTCAGCCAAGAGTCACAGATTGGGCCCATCAGACCCTGTTACCATGTAGCCCTGAGAAGGCAGAAATTTGCCCAGCGTCACACAGCAAAAAGAAGCACAGCATGGGCTTGAACTTGGTTCTCTTAGTTTCCAGTCCTGCTGTATTCTTACTGCCCAGTCTTTGGCTGGAAGTTCCACTTCCAGAGCCTCCCAGCCATACATGACCCACCTGAACCTCCTGGATTCAGAATGGGTGGCTGAACCCCGGGCGCTGCCTCCCTGGCTTAGGCCTGGCTGCCTTGGTCAGGGGTCTTAAGACCCCCTGTGGCTGCAGCCCTGGCATCCAGAACACAACAGTCCAGCCCTCTGTGCCCAGGCCTCAGTGCCCACTGCTCCTCAGGTGGCCGTGGGTGAGGAGTGGATCACAATGACCCTGAAGAGGCCCTGGTGGCAGCAGGGAGGGGCTGGCAGAGGGGTCGGGCAGGGTAGATGGGCTCTCCCAAGGACTAGCCCACCCATTAGGGGGCTCTAAATTCACGGGACCTTCTCTGGCCCCACGCAGAAGCCCTGCCAGGGTGAGTGTGACACCACCCAGGAGCTAGATCGGAGCTGACAGTAACTTGGGAGTGGGGTGTGCTGGGGAGGAAGGAGGCTCCGAGACTCCCAGTGTCAGAGCCGGGGGTGGGACTGTGGCTCTGCCTCCCGAAGGGGGAGTTTGTTTAAAGTGTGTCTTGGCCACCACCCCAGACCTACTGAGTCGGAGTCTGGGTTGGGAGTTGTGTGTGTGTGGGGGGGGAAGTCACAAGCTCTCCCTCCGGGGGGCTCCGAGGCACCACCAGGAGTGGGGACTGCTGGGGGGTCTCCTCCTTCGAGCTGGTCTCCGGTTTTCTTCTTCCCGGCAGAACTCGAGCCCCGCAGTGGCCTCCAGCGCGCGAACGTCCCCACGCATGCGCAGCGCCCCCTCCCGGCGCGGTCCGGGCGCGCCCTCTAGAGGCGCCGAGAGAAGGGAACTGGCTCGGCCGAGGTCACAGAGCTGGAAAGTGGTGGCACTGGGACTAAATCCGAAGGAAGAGGAGTATTAGAAGCATGGCAGCCCGTCTCTGATGAGCATGTACCGTGTACCTGGCCCTATTCCAAGCGGTGGACGTGTCCTCGCGTATGTAAACGTCACAGCAACCCCCAAAGGCGGGCGCTCTCGCAGCCGCCCTCTTCCAGGTGAGGAGCCCGAGGCTCGCGAGCCGCCGCCTTCGCCCCGCCCACGTCACACGTGAGGACGCGCCGGCAGGTGGCGCCCGAGGGGCTCCC